AAGCAAAACGAATACGTTGTGAGAATTTGAAATAAAAAATTAAACTTTCTGAATATATAAATTTTTAGCTCAAATTTATTTTAAAAAGTAATTAAACGCCCATTTAAAAGCACACTTATCGCTAATGACCAAAAAATATCGATTCTAATGAAGAAACAAAATGCAATACTCTCTTATTTCACTGGACTAGGAGAAAATCCAAACACATTTTGGGTAAATTCAATATTGTAATAATAAGTAAGGTTACTCTACGAAAAATGCTATCCCACTATTCGTTGGTAAAAGAGTAGCCCAAGAGTTGGCGGTGGGTGGTGATGACTAGCTGCCTTCCCTCTAGTCTTACACTGCTAAATTAAGGACGGCTAGCGCAGTTAGCCCTCGAGTAGCTTTGCGCGAAATTCAAAACAAACAAACAAACAAACGAAAAATGCTCATGAATACAAAAATAGAAACTTTAGAAAAACTTTGTCTACAGTATCTAAATTTACAGCCCCCCAGTGGCACAGCGGTATATCCACGGACATACAACGCTAGAAACTGGGTTTCGATACCCGTGATGGGCAGAGCACAAATAACCCGTTGTATAACTTTGTGCTTAGCTTCAAACAAACAAACTAAATGTACATGCGGCGACAAATGTGTCGATGAAACAAAGTAATTTCCATTTCCTTATTATACACAGTAGCTGGATATTCTTGAAGTTTTTCATGGCTTTAAACTTTAAAAAATCGAATATAAACCCAGGGCCATTATTTGGGAAAAATCCCAAAATGGCAATTTCTGTGAAACCCAGCTATATATAGTCAAGCCATAGCATAGGGCTTCCAGCTGAATCGAGGGCCAGCATGAGGACTACATTCTTTGCCCCACTCCGAAGACTTTTGGGAAATTACTCCCTTGCATAAACCAACTGTGGAGGTATATAGTGAATATTTATTCATCATCGTGCACAATCTTCGGCATGTTCAGTTACTATTCTTTTATTTTGCGATATTTTGTGAACTTAAAATGTAGTTTTTGCGGTGATGAAAATGTTCACTACGCCACATATGGTTGATAATAGAGTATTTTTTGTTTGATTCAGAAATTTAGCGCAAAGCTACGTAAAAGCTATCTGTGGATAACCATCAACAATTTTGAACTTTTACACTAGAGGGAAGGGAGCTAGTATTCACCAACAACTCTTGGGCTACTCTTGTCTGATTGAGTAATGGAATTTGACCACCACTGTTATGTTACAGTGCACCACAAATCCAAAGTTTTAAGCGTAATGTTGCTGCATTGGCCCTTGAACCACGAATTCCACCAAGCTACGCCCGGTTCAACACTACAGCGAACTGTGCCATTTTTTTAACAGTGCTATTATTAAGATTCATACTATAAAGAAGACAAAGAGTCAGCTAACGTATTGAAATAAAAATATTCGGTAATTAATTCATTTTCTTTTGAAATAATGCAAGCCTTGATTTCATCGCTGATGGTGAGATCAGTGTTTGTTTGTTTTTTGAATTTCACGCAAAGCTACACGAGGGCTATCTGCGCTAGCCGTCCCTAATTCAGCAGTGTAAGACTAGAGGGAAGGCAGCTAGTCATCACCACCCACCGCCAACTCTTGGGCTACTCATTTACCAACGAATAGTGGGATTGACCATCACATTATAACGCCCCCACGGCTGAAAGGGCGAGCATGTTTAGTGTGACGGGGATTCGAACCCGCGGCCCGCAGATTGCGAGTCGAGCGCCCTAACCACTTTGCCATGCCGGGCCGAGATCAGTGATTCATTACAATAAACTATTTTATTTTGTATTTGGTAACGTCAAACATAAGATAAAAAGTTATTTTATGAAAGTTACTTTTTTACTATTATTATAATTAAAATAGTTACTGTGATTTCGATGAGCAATTCTATGTTTCATTATCCTTTCAGTATATGATTTTGATTACAATTTATCACTTTTATTAATACGCTTTTGATGAGTTTTACGTTTTCTATAATTTATATGCATAAAACTGTTTTAAAACTTGTTAAGAATCCAGTTACACGATAGTTTATCCTTTTCGCATTTGATACCGGTTTTTAATTATATCACGTATAGCTGAAATGCTATGAAACAATATATAAAGTAACGCGATAATTAATTTTTTGCTTAGGTCGTGTTTTTGTTTTATTACATATGTTGATAACGAAAACGCAGAAAACATTCATAGCGAACAAAAATGGTATAAGCAAGGTGGAAGAATCCATTTTCCGTTCTAGAGAAGGGGCTTGTAAGATTAATTTGTTGGTTTTTGAATAAAGGCCACATTGGGCTTTTATTGATCCACCGCCGAGAATCGAACCCGAGATTTTAGCTTACAACGTCCGTAAACATTTCGTTGTCCCACCGGTCATTGATGATAATAGACATGCACTTGGAAAAATAATGAAACCAACATTACATAACCCATACGGGTACTAATACAGAAATTGGTGCTGTTATATGAAAATAGTTTATACACTTAAGTCCAAAATATGGATACGTTTGTTCGGTATGTTATACTGTTGCCTTGTACCTCCTCCTGGACTTAGGCAAAAAACCTATATACACTTTGCCCATCAGATCTTTTTACTCTTTTGTTAAATACTTATGTGAACGTTGTAGGTCGTTAACATTTCGAATGGTAAACTTTTTCAGATCTAATTATTCTGTTGGGCTACTCTTTGGACAACAAATGAAAACTATGTAGCATTCATGTTACAAAATTTTAATACGCTTGGGAGTATTTTGATAATACCGTATTAATACTCTTTCACATATTGTGAACAGCGAATTTTATCCTGTAACGCACTATCATCGTGTATATACTTATCGCCCTCTGTTGGTAATGTTTTCTATTTAAAATAAATATTTAAGAAGTCGAAGCTAAGTCTGAGAACGGAACAGGTAAGGTAGAGTACACGTGTGTAACTTATCGTTGAATTAAATAATCAAAACTGTCATGGAACTAATTTAGTAATATATTATAAACAATAGCAATGATAAATTTTAAGGTAATTAATTTAGGTCGTTTTTAAGTGTGCTCTTAAGAGATTGTTGACTTGATTGCTAATTGTGTCGTTCTTCGCCCTTTATACAGATCCAACTCGCTGTATTGCTTATTTACTAGTACCAGGCGCTACTGCAGACTAGTAGTACTTTGATTACTTGTACTACTCGACTCAAAAGTAACTTTCTTGCAGCCACATAAGTTGTAAAAGTTTTAAGTAGTACTATAAATCATTTGGGCTATTTGGCATTTAACGGTGTGTGAAACTCGAGAAAAGAAGAACGAGGGAAGGTTTTGAAAAAATTGAGGCGTCCTGGAAATTGAAGAGAAATTTAGTTATCTCGAACAGCTACTCTACATTTTCATTCAGTATCGTAATTATTGTGCTATGGAAGATATTTTTCAATGGTGTAGGGAAGGCAATGGCTTTCAAGTCCGTGTTTGGCTGGATGATACTGAGCATGATATGAACCAAGGGTAAGAATGCTCTGTTTTCCATATCTTACTACAGTTATGTTTTGATTTTGTTATATAAAATTATAATATTTCGATTAGTCTTTTTTTTTCATTTCAATGGAAAAATTCTGTTAGGTGTGAGCTACAGTTTGGTTTTTTATCTTATATACTTCAACTTGACTTAAGATTTCTCATATACATCATTAATTTGTGACGTTTCATAAAAAAAGAAGGTGCGCAAGTTTATGTTTAACTTTGTGTTTAAACTTCAGTAAAAATACTTGTACGTTGAGAGTATAACTAGGCTTTATTAGGCGTTATAAATAGTTTATCGTTTTTGTACACACACGAGTTCATTTAAAAGATGACTGTTACCAGTGAAATTCGCTTATATTGTAAATTTTATAAGTAAGTTATTCAAATGTTTAGCAGATTAACAGCCATTTGACTAATAGTAATATTATGTAGTAGTATTTTAAAGTTCGCCCCCAGTGACACAGTGGTATGTCTGCGAACTTACAACGCTAGAAACCGGGTTTCGATACCCGTGGTGGGCAGAGCACAGATAGCCCATTGTGTAGCTTTGTGTTTAATTGCAAACAAACAAACAGTTTTAAAGTTTAGGTTAAAACTTGCAGTTTCTATGTTTTGTTTTTAACGTGATTAATTCTTACAAGTTATCTTTCCAAAGGTACTTAATTAGTCTTTTGACATTTGTTCATAATAGGTATAATTAATTGTAAATACTGTTATAAAATCGTAATGAAATGAAATTTAACTAATATGTTATGTAATAATATATGTATTAAATTAAGGGCCAAGCGTTTATTTTTTTGACGGATAATACATATTAAGTACCTGATGATGACAAAACCTTGTCGAAACGTAGTACATTTGCTGTTACGTTAAACTTGTATTGAAGTTTTTCTTCATTACCCATTCAAGCTGTCTCCAAGCATTACATATTGAGTATTGTCAATCTCTCTAAAACCTCGGGAGTATGACCTATTTCCGTCTCCCACACATCTTTGCCTCGCCCTTTCTGCAATGACGTCGACGTTTTCCCGACTATATTTGGATATAGAAAGAAACGCACCTAACTCCATACACAAACTTGCGTGAAATAACAAATAAGTTGCGAAAACATTCAAAATAAAAACTATATAACATCTGTTGTTCTTTGTAATATTAATAGATGTTATATAATTTTTGTTTTGAATGTTTTCGCAACAACTTGTCAGAAACTAGTTTAGTTAGTTAAATCAAACCTTACTTGTGTGAAATAAAATCAGAGGGTATCTTGCCCACAAATTCTTTAATGTTTTCTAATTAAACATTAAAAATAGCATGATGAAAAGAATTGCCCTTTTAGTTTTCGTGCTTTTATAAAACATAATGGAAATTATAGACATTGAAAAGGATTGTGAAAAGTATGTAATACACTTTATGGTTAACTGCTTAAAACTTGCAAACTGTGTATTTAGAGCATGCTGTCAGAATCTGTTAATTCCTTGTGGTTGTACTTTAAAGGTCAGAAGACAACTCACATGGTCACAATGTTAGTGTTGTATATCAGTAAAAGTATTATACTCTAGAGCAGTGCTTCTCAGCTGGGTGAATGGTTCACCCAGGGGATACTGAGATCAGAATCAGGGTGAATGAGTATTATCAATTATACAACAAATTTCAAGAGCAAAAACGTCATTATTTATTCTAGTTGTAGTTTGATAAATACATTTCTTTTTTGATTATTTTCTATTGTATTCATTTTAGTTGTAGTTAGATGTATATTTAAGTCATGATAAAGAATTTTGTATTTTAATGTAGTAATTTTTTGTCCTTTTCTAACTGGGGTGAGTGAGTTGTTGTGAAAAATTTAGAGAGGTGAATGTTATTGGAAAAGGTTGAGAAGCACTGCTATAGACCACTGAAATTTATTAAAAATTACTTAAAAGTAAACACGTTAAATGTCTTTCATACAAAAAGCATTAATCAAATTTTTTCATCTATTCTATTTTATCCAGAATTGTACTGTTTCTTTTATATCCTAAGTTAGAAGTTTATGTAACTTTGACCAAAAATATGAAATTGCTCATCTACAATTATAAAAAAACTACTGATTGAAAGTCCATTAATAATGAAGATTAGAAATAAAATTGATTAATCAAGACATTTCTCTGTAATAAACTGAGTATAAATACTTTGCCTTAAGTGTATTTACCAAAGAATGAAAATATATAATGATTAAAATATACTGAACTATAATTTGAGCACCTTTGCTCTTAACAATATTTTTGACCATAACTCTAACATTATCTCATGTAATTCAGCCAGCTTAGGAGACTGAGATTAATTATAAATCTGTACACTAAGCTAACAATGCAAAGTAATTTTCAGAGTAAAAAGTAATTTTAGATGTAATTAGTGACATTAATGAAACTAAGTATAAAGAAAAATGACATAGTTCATTGCTTTCAAAACTCGTATAGCACCTGTAATCTATATAGACTTTACTAATATAATGTATGTAAATATAAGTGTTTATGTAGTTGCAGTAGTGCACACTCAGTAGAAAAAAAAAATCAATGAAGGAAATTTGTAAATTTCAAAAAACTAAAATTCATAAATAAAAGCTTACTAGCTACTTGTCTCCAGAATGATTAGAAATGAGAAATTGCTTTCTTGTAATCATGCTAGAAGTACAAGTGAAATGACCTTAGAGGCTTAAGTTTAATTTTGTGAATAGACTTTTATAAATGTTTGGAAGTTCAAATATCAAACATTTATAAACAACAACACTAAATAATTGAATTTGACCACCAAATGAAATAACAGTTCTTCCAACAGTTGAAATGACAGGGCTTTTAATTTTAATTCAGCCTGCTGTCACTGATTTATGGTGGTCATGTTTAATAGATAACATTATTTTTTCTTTGATTAATAAAACTACCAAGAATTTTCCACAGTTCTAAATACTTTGTTATAATTTATCTCAATATATAAAGCACTGTTTTGTGAATTTTTCTTTAGGTTTCATAAAACTGATTCTGCATTTGTATTTTTGACAAAGAAATACACATTGAAATGTAAATATTTTATAGAAGTGGAAAGAGAAAAAAAATTATGTTATGTGTATCTTGACAAATTACATGCTGTATATTTAATACAGATTTGTACATTACATTTTAATTAATATTTTCTGTATGCATAATGTATATAGATGAATAGATTACAGACTTATTTGCCCCTTGTATTAATTGGAAGAGATAGCAGCCATCATTTGATATTGACAGTTTGTAGATATAAAAGATTAATTAGATCATTGAAACATTGTCCTTATTACAAGGATCTGAGGTACATAACACTTGAATTTAGGAAAATGTTAAGTGTACATGTATCACTTTACTTATTTAAAAAGTAAAAATTGTCCAGTTATTTATTAAAAAATTAAAAAGTAGATCAATTTTAGTTTTAGGCCAGATTTAAATGGAAATTATGCTGGAAAGCTTTAAAGCTCTTAAGATACTGGGATAAGATTAATTTACTCTTTGAGTGGACATAAGCTTTTGATCGTATGACATTAATATTTTACTATTTGATAAGAAAAAAAGAAAAAGCTCATAAGTTGAAATTAAAGGATATTTAAAAGATTTCTCTAGAGAGATTGAACAAACTAAATACAAAAACTCTAATGTAATATAATAGAAAACTAGTGCTATGCAAGAGATTAATTTTACTTTAGCTTGTGAAAGTTGTTAAATTAAACAACTGGAAAGAAAATTGACTAAGTAATAGAAAATGAAAATTGGTAAAGAAGTTGAGAATTAGAAAACAAATTGTCTTAAGAGGTAGAAAGCACAAAAAAGATAAGTCACTTTTCAAATTGGATGAGAGTTATTGGGTAGGTTTCTATGGGGGTTATGGTGTGGTTTTGTACCTTTCATATATATTCAATAACTTGGATCTTCATAGATCACAATATTTCAAAGTTCATTGCTGATACTGAAATGCTAGAAAGAGCTGATTCTGTTTAGAACATTTCCTTTTTTCAGAAACCTTTTGCCAGATATATTTTTTTAATACAAAGGAAACATTATGCACTTGTGGTATGGAAACTTGGAAAGGTATTTATTATGATTGAAGAGCACTGGGACAAGTTGGGAAAAATTAGGATTTAAGTGTAATTGTTGTTAAATTGTTCTACTGAGTGTTCAGTGGTAGTGAAGAATGAAAGTTCTTGGTCTTCCTTATAGGAAAATAAGAGTAAGCAGGTTGTTGCAACCTGTGCACAAGATTGGTAAATTTTCATTAGTATAGTACTGTTAGCAATTTTAGTCCCTTTACTACAGGAAGGATATCAGATTGTTTGAAAACATGCAGAAAAAAACAACATGTGTAATGATACCTGCTTTATATTATTTTAAGTAATGAGGAAAACTTAAAAGTAATATATTTGTTTAAATTTTTTTTCTATAGAGTATAGAAGAATTAAAGATGATTTGACTCCAGTGTTCAAAATTGTTAGGAACTTTTACAGCCCTTCATGTTTACTGTATTTGAATGATAGAATGATAATGTTTGAAAAAGCAAACTGGAATATTAGGGGACATAGCTGGAAATTGAGCCCTAGAAGATCGGATTAAAAATAATTCAACACAGTTATATTTTAGTTTAAATTTAAAGCTGATGGTTTGTCTGCTAGTGCATTGTGTGTCGTTTGATTTCTTTTAAACTTTGGTCTGTTAATGTTGGTGTGTGGGAGGAGAGTTATTATTATTATAACTAAAAAAAAATCATGTGGCTACATCCTTGCAGACACGCTACAGAGGATAACCAGGAATTATCTTGTCTATTTGAAAGACAAGTGGATGATTCAAAGTTTACAAATGAATTATCATTACTACTGTAGGTCAGTAACATTTGTGTTAGCCAAAGTAATGGTGATCCTCAAGTGACTGTTTTATCAGGGTTTCACATAGATAAGAACATTGTATTGGTAGTTAAGATAAGACTGTTGCTTT